AAAAGAGGTAACAGTATAAACCTCACCAGTTTCTTGAGATAATTAAATAACAGAAAGTGGCACATGTGAAATGCTAGAACATAATACACGCTCAACGGGCATTTGCTTCTACCCTTCTTTCTCCAATTAGCCCAGGCTCTCATAATTCCTATCACTGAATTCCTATAGCATTCATTTATAGTACTTGTGTGTCACTTAGCAAAAATGACCTTTTATCATTGTTTATCTTTTCAAGTGAAATCTTGTCTCCCCATCTTGATTATAAGCAGCTTGAGAACCAGAGGTTCATCACATCCTTCTTTGGGTCCCTCTCCCCTTGCCCAGTGCATCGCAGTGTGGGGCCCTACATAAATATTTGTGAAAATACCAATTAACTGGAGCATACCAGTAGGAGAGGGAAAGCAAAATGAAACAAAAATCTATCCCAATTATTTAATTTTAGAAAAAGAACCTGAAGAATCTATAGAGATTAGTTAGGGGAAAACTGAATGATAGCATTTAAAAATTCAATAACCCACAGGAAGCTGGAAAGCATTTGTGAACACTTGATTGAAAACCCAAGATAAATGTATGTCAAATTTTAAAATGCTGGGTGTGTGTGTGTGTGTGTGTGTGTGTGTGTCCCCAGACAAGGTGAAGGGACTGTGGAGGCAGATTTTTCCACTTAAAAGTTATTTGAGAAGTATTTAAAAGAAAGGAGGGAGGGAGGGAAGAATGGGGAGGGAAAGAAAGGGAGAGAGAGAAGAGGAGAGAAGTGAATCTTTCAAGGACTAGAAAGCCAGCTCAAGCTAAAGAGAGCAGGGAGTTCGAGAAGGATGCAGAGTCAGGTACAAACCTGAAATTAGGCAGATCAAAAAAGAATTGTGGCCCTGGCTGGTTTGGCTCAGCGGTTAGAGCGTCGGCCTGCGGTCCGGAGAGACCCGGGTTCGGTTCCCGCTAAGGGCATGTACCTCGGTTGCAGTTTGTCCCCGGCCCTGGTCGGTCGTGCGGGTGGCGGCCACTCGATGTGTCCCTTTCACATCGATGTTTCTCTCTCTCTCTCTGTTCCTCTCTCTCCCTCCCACTCTACCTGAACAAAAAAATGGGAAAATGTCCTCGGGTGAGGATAAAAAAAAAAAACAAAAAAGAATGTGTGAAAAAAAAAAACAAAAAAGAATGTGTGAAAAAAAAAAACAAAAAAGAATGTGTGGAACTTTTGAAGAATGTCCAAAACCATTAGCAGAATTTGTGGACACTCCCTATGGAATTGGCGGCCGCTTATAAGGCAAGGTGTACATTTCACTCAAGCGCACAGAGAGATGGGCGAGCAGAAGCAGGAGCAGAGGCCTTGGGAAGGATTGATCTCACCTGGGCTTTGAGTAGGTGGTTTGAGAGGGAGACTGGGCGGGGTGAGCAAAAAAAAAAAAAAAAAAGGGCTTTATTTATCGCTTCGCCTCCCCCTCTTACTTATTTCTCCTTCTTGCCTGGCTGTCTTCCACTTTCCACTCTTACCTCAAAATTCCTATGCATTTCTCTACCATTCTCTCTTTCCCTTAAAGAATTCAACCCTAGAGATATATTTAATATGAACTGCTCTAAGTTTCATAAAAATCTGAAACACTTGCCAACATTTAAAAATAAGAGGACTTGCCTGGCCAGTGTCGCTCAGTGGTTAGGCATCAACCCATGCACCAAGAAGTCACCCATTCGATTCCCAGTCAGGGCACATGCCCAGGTTGTGAGTCTGATCCCCAGTGGGGGGCATGCAGGAGGCGGCCAATTGATGTTCTCGCTCATCAATGTTTCTATCTCTCTCTCTCCCCCTCCCTTCCTCTCTCTTTAAAATCAATAAAGAAAAAAATGTTATAATAATTAAAAGGACTTGACATTCCATATGTCAGGTACCTCTTGACAACAAACTAAAGATCTGGCAACACAGCCCCAGTCCCATGGGGACAAAGAGCTGGCCCTGGGTAGCGTCAGCCTCTCTAGACAGAGAGACATCTTGCATCCTCTCAGTTGCCAACCAGACACAGTACCTGTAATGTCGTCTGCCAGGCCCCTCGGGATGGAAGTTCACCCTCCGACAAGCTTTCCTAGTCAGTCCTCTTTCTTCTTCTTGTGTGGAATGTCTCCCTTTCTTTGCCCTAGATACTTATTTCTTCTTAAATTTCCCTAAGCTGTAACTGTAGTACATGTGTTATTTATTTTTGTCTGTTCTTAATGTTTAACTGAACAAATAGAAACTTTTAGCTTTTTTCATTTCACCACCCCCATACCAAAAAACATGCTTTTAAATTAGTCTTTGACTAAGGATAAAAATATCTTTAGCATACATCCAAAAAAATAAGTCAATAAAATAATTTATCTTGCTTTCTTGCTCTTTCAAAACCAGTACAAGTGGTAAGGTTTGTCAGTGAGATAGTAATGAAAATAGCATAAATATTTTAATATATGTAAGTTTCTCTTTGACAACCATGAATCCAGTGGTGTTATTTGGGTTGTTGTTTTTTGTTGTTGTTTTTTAATAGTAATTATTAGCTTCTGTTTCTATTCCCAGAGAAACAAAAATAACTTCAGGGTTCTTCCATTCACTGTGAACACAAATGTATTCTTCCTGGAACTTATTGATAAGGAGCTTCCCGTGACCTCTCCACCTAGATGTTTTCATCCGTGTGGGTCCCTGATCTGTTCAGCCTCACCTTGCACTGACACCCCGCTTCGCCTCCCGCTGAACCATGGCTCATCTCTAAGAGAATCCTCATTTACATGTCATTTGCATATTTGAGATTCCTCCACATAATTCTGATAATTGTCCCTCCTTCTGGGTATATGTAGCATAATGAGCCTGCTGTGCTTCTGAAGATGTCAGGTGAGATTCATCACTAGAGTTTTATTCATTTAGTTAACAAATATTTATGGAGGGCCTGCTTGGTGGTGGATATTGTTCTAGGTACTGAGGATGCAACACGGACTATGCAACAGTCTTTCACATTCCCTACTGTCAACAACCAGTAAGCTTCTTGCTTCTCACAAAGTGGTGTCTGGATTGTATTAGCCCACATTCTTAGGTTCAAGATATAATAAAGGGTTGAAACAGATGAAGAAAACAAAAAACCTGCTCTCAAAAAGCTAACAATCTAAAGCTACATGTGCCAATAGGTATAATGTCATGTTTCTTTAAATTTATTTAGGACACACCATCAGCCTGGCTAGTAGGTTGAGCATCGTTCCATGCACAAAGAGGTCACTGGTTTGATTCCCAGTCAGGGCACATTCCCGGGTTGCAGGCTTACTCCCCAGTGGGGAGTGTGCAGGAAGCAGCTGATCAATGCTTCTCTCTCATTGATGTTTCTCTCTCTCTCCCTCTCCCTTCTTCTCCCCTTAAAATCAATAAAAACCATATTTAAAAAAAGAAAAAGACACACCATTATTTCCACAATGGCTTTACTGGTGTGTGTTGTGTATTCGGTTGTAAGACATATCTTGGTTTCAGAAATATTAACTAAACAGATTCTTTAATGGACTGTTAACAAATATTATTGCTGATGGTGATGGAGTAAATTCAACTTATGTATAATTTGCACCATTTTAAAATGTAATAAGTGTCTAAAGGAACAAATTCAATGATAAAAGCGCAATGAGACAAATTTTTCTTGATCAGGATGGTTCTTTCAAAAACCAAAAATCTCTCAGTAGAAAAGCAAAAAAAAAGACTGAGAAAAGAGTGCCCCATACTCGAGCGGAGGCAGACCCCTAGGGTGTGATATAATGAGCAGCACCTTCTGGGAAATTTCTAGTATTCATGATAAAATGCCGGAGCAACTTTCAGATAGATGGAAATGACACTCAAACTCCTTTTGAGAAATTAGATTAACACCACTCAGCTTCCAGTCATCTTGCAAGAAATTTGATCTAACAATGATTACTTAACCATTTACTTTTCCCCAAAGAGATCACTACCAAAAGGAAATCTTTGGATCAGCTTTTTTAGGAGCCTTCTCCCTGTGGCAAGTTTGAAATAAACCTTTTACACATGCTCACAATCTGTGAAGTTGTCACAGAAGTATTAAGTCTTGAGTGATAGTGATAAATTAGGTATTCCTCTGCTTCCCTAAGGAAAACCAGGGCCTCTGGTTTGAGACACAACCGTGTGATTGAAGGAGAGCCCAAGGAGGGGCAGATAACTGAGGAAGGAAGAAGCTCAGGGTGAGATTAAAAAGCAGTTTGACACTCAGGACACATAGACTGCTTCATTCGCAACAAAAGTTCAGCTTTGCCAATTCTAAGAGAAGAATTCTTATTAAGGGGGCAGGGCAATAGAATAAATCTAAATCGGAGGGACATGGATGAAGGTTTTCAAACTGGTAGAAAGTTGAAACTTAACTTTGGCTGTTCTTCCTACTGCCTAGAACCAGCTTCCTAATAGTTTCCCCTTGACTAGTCCCTCTTCATCCATCAAATTCAGATCTTGGATTAAATGTCACCTTCTTCTAGAAGTCTTCCTCATTACCCAACCTAAAATAGGTCACAGCTGTAATTCTCTCGCATAGCAACCTGCCCTTTTTCTTTATAGCACATGGAGTAATTTTTTTTTAATCCTTACCCGAAGATACTTTTCTCCATTTTTATCTTCAGATAGAGTGGGGGACAGAGAGAGAGAGAGAGAGAGAGAGAGAGAGAGAGAAACATGGACTTGAGAGAGACTCCAACCAGGGCCAGGAACTGAACTGCAACCGAGGCACGTGTCCTTGACGGGAATCCAACCCAAGACTCTTGGCCTGTGGCCAACGCTCTACCGCTCAGCCAAACTGGCCAGGAGGTAATTTTTAATTACAACTTTATTTGCTACTTATTTGGTGTCTCCCATGAGACAAGAAGCTCAGTGAGAGCTGGAATCAGGTCTGTTTTGTCCACCTTTATATATATACCAAGTACCTAGCGTATGCTCCGCAAGCACACGGGGAATAAGTACATTAATTGGAATAACTGTGCTGGTGCACTGTCTCTACTTACCAGCGGGACTGGCGGTTCTGCTGCATGAAATGTGCTCCTTACGCCGGGAAACTGAGGCACAGCCCCCATCGCGCACTGGTGAAAGCACCCCCTCTGAGCCCCAAGCTCCATTTGCTTTGTGATGGGCGTCTCCACGGGCCGGGGGAGGAACTATTTCCGAAATTAAACAGAAGACAGAACAGGTGTCCTCGGTGAACGCGGCTCAGCACCTCCAGCTGCGGTCGGTCTGTGTCACCACCAAGGGGAGAGCTTGGCCTCGTGTGCTGGCCGGACCTTCGTCCACCCACCGATCCCTCCGGAGGGGACTTGGCCGCGTTAGGAAGCAGGTTTCTCCATCCTAGATCGGCGCCGACAACATGCACATCGGCAGAGCTTGCTCTTGTCGGGACGCCCCAGGCAGGGTGTTGCGGGGGAATGTTCTTCCGTAACTTTCTAACCTCTGGACAAAGGCAGGCACGGGAGTGCCTGGTTTACAGTGCGTCGCCTTTAAAGGTTTTCTTGGGGAAATTTAGGTTCCGGAAGAAGAGTAACAAAAATGAAAAGGGAGATTTCACTTGAAGGATTTTAATTTCACTGTGAAAACCTGACAGTTGAAACAGGAAGTATTCCGATTTCAAGCTTTGCACATGACTGTCATTGTAGTAACAGGATTACTGGCATCTGGGGATATAATCCTCTTTAATTAGCTGAGTTGCAGAATCCAAGATGGACCGTGAGACAGGAGGTACATTTTTCAGAGAGTGTGAGCTAAGAATTAACATAAACAATAATGTGTGAACTCATTTCCAAATCTCTTCTGATTATTTTTTTAATGTTTTCCCCACGGGAGATATCATTGACCTTAGATCTGGCTTTTAAACACAGTGAATTAATGGCATAAATAATAAAGTTCGGGGCATAGAATTGGGAGAGAAAAAAACAACCTATAGTAATTGAAACTCTTGTAATTGCAAGAAACCTCAAAACAAACTAGATTAAGCAAATGGGAGATTTCTTGGAAACAAACGTGGGTAACTTACAGACTCAAAGAGGAAACAAGACCTGGAGGAACAAAATCAAGGAGTAACTCACCCATCGACTCTTCCTGCCTCTCATCAGTCTCTCTTTCTCCAGGTGGTAAGAGACAGAACCAGCAGCTCTGAACCACATACTTTCAGCTTTCCCACAACAGAGAAAGAAATTTTCCCCCATGGAGCCACTTAGGGGAAAAGTTCCAGAGAAGTGTTCGGATTCGCTGAGCTGAGGTTAAATGTCCACCCCCCGAGCAGTCAGTGTCCAGGTGGATGTGCTCATCTAACTGGGCAGGGGCTGGGTAAGGGCACAGCCCTGAGGCAAGGCGGAGGAGGGGTGCTATGAGTGGAAACCCTAACAGACTCTCAGGATTGGAGTGAATAAAAGAAGCCTCACTTTCCCCAACAAGGGCTAAGAGAGGGGTACTTTTGTTAGAAGAAGTAGGGAAAAGGAGCCGAGTAGACAAAAGCACAGCATTATCTCACTTTCTTTCCACATCTATCCCCCAGAGAAGAAAACTGGAAGTGAGGGGAGGGGAGGAGAGAGGAGAAGGGAGAAGAGTTTTCATTGAAAACAGCAAGCTTTCACCTGGCTGGTGTGGCTCAGTGGTGGAGCATCGACCCCTGCACCAGGAGGTCGCCGGTTCGATTCCCGGTCAGGACACGTGCCCAGGTTGTGGGCCCGATCCCCAGTGGGGGGCGTGCAGGAGGTGGCCAATCGATGTTCTCTCTCATCGACGTTTCTCTCTCTACCCTTCTCCCTTCTTCTCTTTCTAAAATCAATAAAGAAAAATAAAATAAAATAGCGGGATTTCTATACAGAGACTTTACAGGAGTTACCTGTATACATTTCTCAGTGCACCTTACATTTTTAGAAAAGGGTATGGTGAGCAAAATAATGGCCCCAAAGACGTCTAAGTCTTTATCCTTGGAAATGTACGCGTGGAAAGGAGCTTTGACAATGTGGCTGCGGTGTGGCCTCGAGAAGACCCTTTTCCAGCTGTGGTGAGGGAGACATGATGATGGAAGGAAAGTAAGAGGTGTGTGAAGCTGTTGGCTTTGAAGGTGGAGAAAGGGGAGCAAAGTCAGGCGGCGCGGGTGGCCTCTAGAAGCCGGCCAAGGAAACATCCTCTGCGAGAGCCTTTGGAAGGAACCTCGCCCTGCCTACAGCCTGTGACTTCAGCCCGGTGGGACCTGTTGTCAGACTCTGGCCCATCCAACTGTGTAATAAATGTGTGGTTTTTTGCACCACTGAGATTGTGGTAATTTGCTGTTGCAGTAGTAGAAAACCTGACATAAGATGGTCTGAGACCTAGAGTCTATTAATATCACTTTCGTCCAATCACAGAAAAATTGTAAAAGAGCTGTGCATGGGGTGGGAAGGGTTTTTCAATGTCTATTTAGAAGATTTTCCTATGAATTCGTGAGATGTGAGGGCATAAACTACACCGTGTTCTCGCGTGGTATAGTCCCTCATGTCAAAAGGTCAGTGTATGAATGTAGTTTGTTTTTTCTCTCCTGCCTTTTTCTTCCAGGGAGCCTAAGTATGAAAACATTCCAGAAAAGGAAGGTGAGCCTGTAAGTACACTCCCACTGGGTTTAGATTTCAGTCCTTGAGGGACAAGTTTCTGCTTCTCCTGTAAGAAACTTCAGGGAGCAGGAACGTGAAGAACTGAGTCTGTCTGGTGGACAGGAGCGGGGCAGGCAGTGAGGCAGCCCTGCGGAGCCTGGACCGCCTAGACCGAGATGCAGATGTGAACCTCTGCATCTGTCAGGTCTCTGACGTCGGCAGGAATGCTCAGATCGCTGTAGGCAGGGACAACTGAAACCACACCTGTCCTCAAGAGAATTCCCACTGTTATAGGAACACAACTGGGGCTGTGGTAGAACAGAAATCCTGACATCGGCAGCACTTCCTTCTTTATTCCAATACCCAGTAAATAGATAAGTTCCCAATTTAGTCAGTTGTGGGTGGACTAACCAGAACGGAAGTAAACCATGTGTAAATTACCTAAGCAGATGTCATGGAATACTAGCTCCTCAGGGCAGGGACTGTTCTGTTCCTTGCTTTCTATTCAATGCCTGGCAATAGATACGTATTATATACACACCTGTTGACTACATGAGGAACATTCCAATCTTCTCATGGCTTCAGCAGATGCCAGGAGGTCCTGCTTGGCTTGGAGTCGTCCTGATAGACGACAGTCCTGACCCAGTTCATCCAAAGAACAGCCAGCTTCAGAACAGTTCTTCCTTCTGCCTGGTGGTGCATACCAGTCACTTAAAATGAACAACAACGCTACAGCTGTTATAAAGACACACACCAGTGTCTGCTTATCTCCAAAGGAAGCTGGGACAGGAGATGTCTAACATCAGCTGCGTCGAAGTCGTCATCGTGTTACTGGATGAATCTTTAGTGCCACCCAAATGGAGAGCAATAGCTGCCCCACCTTGGGCCTTTGTACCAACTGTTCTTTCTACTTGGAAAACTCTTTCCCAGAACTTCACAAAATCACTCCTGGCTTAGCTTAAATGTCACCTTCTCAAAGAGGCCATCCAACCTAAAGCAGGACCTCGGTCGTTCTCTGTCGAATCACCATGCTTTATTGCCAGCTCATATTCTCGTGCGTCTTTGATTTGTTTTTGTTTGGTTTGTATCTGTCTTCCCACTAAAATGTAGCTCAAGTGAAATAACAATGTACACTGGCCTCGCAGAGTTGACTTTCAAGGAATATTGGTTTACAGAAAAGGGCTATTCAATTTAGTAAGCTTAATCTTTTGAATAAAAAATATTGGCAAATACCATTTTAAATTCTAAGAAGAGATATAATTTATTATTCCATAAATAGCAAGACACATTTTTCCATTTTATAGTAAGAAATATATGGGGAGGGTGATAAAGATAAAACCTTAATGTTCTTCAAAGTCACAGGAGGGAAATGATAAATAACACTATGACTTTGTTTAATACAATTATTTAGATGAATTAAAAATGACTAAATGTTGCCAGGATTTGTCACTAAAAGCATTCTAATTCCTTCTTAAGATTCAGAAACATATGAAAATATTCCTCGTTTTGTTTTGTTCTTTTTGCAGGAAAAAAAAGTCATGTTCGTTTCCAGATTCAGGAGTGTTTCACGAACTAGCACAGTGTAATGAGCCCATCTTGTGGCCTTTTATAATATTGCCGCTTTTAAAGTGAAATGTATTTGTTAACTATTGGCTTAAACATTTATTTTACAAAAGACTTTTGAGCCCTTCCTGTGCACCAGGTGTTATGCTGACTGCTGAGAATGCAATGATAAGAAACGTAAGAAAAGACAAGCTCCTTGCACTCAATTCATATGAATCCAAAGGAGAGAGAAGCTTTTAAGCAGAGATCATTCTAGGATAGGTAAGTGCTACTACACAAAAGTATAATTAAGTTACTACACCAGAGTTAAGTAAAGTGTCCCCAGAATTCAGAATAAAACTTGTATATCTACATTTTCAGGAATAACTCTGAATGCTAAAGAATATATGTATCATCAGAGGTTGGGTTAAATATTAATTTCCAGTCTACAGATTTTTTAAACCTAGTGAGCCCACAGAAACCTAAGTGCATCTGGCTCCCATTTAAATCACCCATTCTCAGAGTGTAGCAAGTATATATTTAAAAATAGCTCCTATGTGTGTTCCCTATTGGTAAACAGTTTTCCATCTCCATATACCCACTGACAAGCATAGCTTTAAAGAAATGGAAAGGCACTTACATAAATCAAGCACTTCTAAAAATCTGAGAAAATAAGGAAGTTGAACCCTTAACACTTTAAATTTGCTAGACTTCTCTCTCTTACTGGAATATAATTTCCTGTGCTTTATGTTGGCTTTTTATGTCTGATAGTGAAGCAGAAAAACCCGAAGAACAAAGCCGCAAGCCTTCTTGGACAAAAGAGTGTCCCGCAGCCTCATGGGAAAGGACTCTAACAGGTACTTTAAACCGACACTTCAAATGATTGACTCTGGGGTACAAATTTTTGAGCTGATATTGTTTAGAAAACTACCAGTAGGCTAATTACCAGAACTTTTTTCTGTGAAGCAGAAGATTTCAGAAAAGCAGACCCCCAACCTAAGATCCAGTGGAACAAAACCTACATAGAGTTGAATAAATTGATGGGGGAAATTCTACTGTAGTAATTGGAATGTTGTTTTTGTTATAATGTTGCATTTTCTGGATAGATGAAGTATGACCCTGGATTTGCTAGCCAACCCAAGGAGGCATATGTGAACTCTGCTGCACCTATGTAACAAACAAGGCTAACCCCAGTGAGCCCAGCCCCTCACGTGAACCTTGAGAGATTAAGAATCTTTGAGAGTATTATGATCATCAGATGGGGACATTGTAAGAAAATTGTGAAAGATACAGGAACGGGCAAAGGAAGATTAATGAGCATCTTTTCAGTAGAACACAAGGCATTGTCTAGTGAATGCCTCCAGGTTATGATTGCTTGGGAGTCTGCCCTTTTCATGGTCTCTAACTGAACTATTATACAAGTCTGTCTAGTAAAAAAGAACTGCTAGTATGTAAGTGACTCTTATCCAGAGAGATGTAAATGAATTTTGAAAAGTACAGTTGATTTCACTACTATCATCACCCCCTTCCAAGAAAGAACCTATGTCTATCTATTAGCAAATTCATTCCTGAGTTTCCGATTGCCACCCATTTTGTTTTACATAGTACTGGTTTCCTTATTAATTAAATAAAATGTCTGAAACGTGTACTTTTTATATTTGTACAAGAGCTATGATGTTGCCTCTTATTAAAAAAATTATTTTTTAACATAAACATGTTACAAATTCTTATACTTTAAATTTTATTTCAAACTTGCTGTAAGAAGGAGGGATTTCTAAAAGAACCAATTCAGTCCTGGCCGGTTTGGCTCAGCGGTTAGAGCGTCGGCCTGCGGTCCACAGAGACCCGGGTTCGGTTCCTGCTAAGGGCATGTACCTTGGCTGCAGTTTGTCCCCGGCCCTGGTTGGGTCATGTGGGTGGCGGCCACTCGATGTGTCCCTTTCACATCGATGTTTCTCTCTCTTCCTCTCTCTCCTTCCCGCTCTATCTGAGTAAAAAATGGAAAAATGTCCTCGGGTGAGGATAAATAAATAAATAAATAAAATAAAAGAACCAATTCAAGGATTTGTGTCCTGTTAGTGATATTTTATAGGATTTTTAAAAAGAGTGATTAGATAATCATTGTGAGACTAGATATAAAATAATACCTGATTAAGGATCATTAAACTCCTCGCAATACTGCTTAAAAGTTGTTAGGGTGCTTCCATGATTCATTATCAGGCGGGGTCTCCCAGAAGAGGCTCTCAAATCTATCAGTAAAACTGCTTTTGAGCATCTGATGAGAAATGTTCATTATTTCCAGAAAGGTTTGTAGACTACATTGCTCCACACTAAGTTTGGGAGTGATTCTTTCATGTCATGAACATTGTTAGAAGAACCTGAGATTTGCTCTATTTTTAAGTTTAATGTATTACATTTACAAAAGTGAAGTACTTAGGGGATTGTTGCTTTAAAAGGTTGTAGTTTGGCCCTGGCCGGTTTGGCTCAGCGGTTAGAGCGTCGGCCTGCGGTCCGGAGAGACCCGGGATCGGTTCCGCTAAGGGCATGTACCTCGGTTGCAGTTTGTCCCCGGCCCTGGTTTGGTCGTGCGGGTGGCAGCCACTTGATGTGTCCCTTCATGTCGATGTTTCTCTCTCTCTCCCTTCCTCTCTCTCCCTCCCACTCTATCTGTACAAAAAATGGAAAGGTATCCTCGGGTGAGGATTAAAAATAAAAATAAAAAATAAATAAATAAATAAAAGGTTGTAGTTTGCCCTAGCCGGGTGGCTGGGCTAGGAGCGTCCCCTGTACACCGACAGGTTTCAGGCTCAGTTCCTGTTCAGGGCACACACCTGAGCTGTGGGTTTGCTCTCCAGTCGGGGTGTACCCAGGAGGCAGCTGATCCATGTTTCTCTCTCACATCAATGTTTCTCTCGCTTTCTTGCTCTCTCTCTCTAAAATCAATTTTTTAAAAATATATCCTTGATTTAAAAAGAAAAAGAAAAAGAGCCCTGGCTGGTTTGGTTCAGCAGTTAGAGCATTGGCCCACGGAGTCTTGGGTTCAATTCCGGTCAAGGTCAAGTACTTCGGTTGCAGTTTGGTCCCCTGCCCTGGTCAGGTCCTACAGGAGGCAACCAGTCATTGTGTCCCTCTCACATCAATGTCTCTGTCTCTGTCTCTCTCTCTCCCTCCCTCCCTTTCTGTCTGAAAATTAATGGAAAAATATCCTTGGGTGAGGGTTTTTTTAAAAATTTAAAAAGAGCCCTGGCCAGTTTGGCTCAGCGGTTAGAGCATCAGCCCACAGACCAATGAGTTGCGGGTTCATTTCTGGTCAAGGGCAAGTACCTATGTTGCGGTTCGTTCCAGCCCTGGTCGGGGTCATGCGGGAGGCAACCAGTCAATGTGTCCCTCTCATGTTAATGTTTTTCTCTCTCTCCCTTTCTCTCATTCTCTCTCTCTCCCACTCTATTTGAAGATAAATGGAAAAATGTCCTCGAGAGAGGATTAAAAAAAAAATTTAAAAAGAAAAAGTCATAACTTGCCTAGTCTGGCATTTGAAGTACTTAAAAGGAAAATCAAATATATTAAATTTATTAAAGGCAATTTAAAATGTTTCAGAAAATATAATTAAATATATAAATGAGATTAATTGGTAACCTGCAAATTAAATAAACAAGAAAGATTTTAGAAATATTCAAAATATGTTAAATATAAATATTTTTAAAATATATAATCCTTTCCACAGTCAAAAAAAACAATCTTAGAGAGCTAAAACTCAAATTGACAGTCCAAAGCGAAGGGCACTGCATAACAGAAGCCACGATTATCAATTATTAAAAATTAAATTGAAGAGCCCTGGCCGGTTTGGCTCAGCGGTTAGAGCGTCGGCCTGCGGTCCTGAGAGACCCGGGTTCGGTTCCCACTAAGGGCGCGTACCTCGGTTGCAGTTTGTCCCCGGCCCTGGTCGGTTGTGCGGGTGGCAGCCACTCGATGTGTTCCTTTCACATCGATGTTTCTCTCTCTCTCTGTTCCTCTCTCTCCCTCCCACTCTACCTGAACAAAAAATGAAAAAATGTCCTCGGGTGAGGATAAAAAAATAAATAAAATAAATAAATTGAAGAGAAGAGGAAGCATCAGTGTTTCCCTTGTAGTGTTGTAGCTCACTGTCCTTAGACTCCAACTTGTCTTT